TTTTTTTTTGTCTCAAAAGGCAACAATCCAAAAAATTCAGAAAATGCTAAAAATTCAAGTGTAACCCACTCTCGGCGCATAGAACTAGACATAACAATCGCCGAGAGTGGGTTACACTTGATTTTTATTTTTGGTAAGACAATGCGAGTGTTATGTACATCTCTATATATATTATTATTTTTTATTTTTTACGAGAAAGTAACATATATATATCCCAAATATGGTCTACATCCAAGTCGAAACTACATAAAGCAACATCATAAAAATACGAGGATCACAAAAAAAGTCCGATATGGAACTAAAATCAAAACCCTATAAAAGGTCGTCCTGGTCATAGTGTTCTGGCATGGAGTCCAAAAAGTCAAAACTAGTCAGGGGCAGGAGGTGGCGGTCGCCCGAATCTGAAGGATGTGTACTCTAACTGGTCCATCCGAATGAGCGTCCCAAGACGGAGGGGAATGTCCTCAGGAAGGAGGGTGCGTCTCTGGGGTAAAGATGCTCCCGTGCTAGCAAGGAAATCAGCGGGTCGATTCCCCTCCCGGAATATATGTGAGACCTGGTAATGGATCGAACGAAGGGTGTCTCTGATACGCATAAGAGGAACCTGGAACTCCCACAACAGCAATGGTTTCTTTAACAATGTGGGTAGCAATCTAAGGAGGAAGAAAAGCTCATTTTCAAGCACAAACAAATAATAATAAACAAAAGAAGTTTGAATGAAGCTAAGAGAAATTTAAGATTACCACCATTAACTCAGCTAGTGCCTGAATATAGCTGGGAAGGAGTGATTTCAGCTCTTCACTCTGGTCGTCGCCAAAAGTCCCGATTTCACATTCACCTCTCGAATACACGAGCCTCCCCATGGCTCTAATACCTGCCCCGTAATCCAATCACAATACTTCCCAATTAAACACGACATACATAAATCGAAAAAAATTCTAAATAAAATAAAAAATAAAAAAGACACCTAAATCCTATCAATAACAAATTTCAAAAATCTCCAGCTCATCAAATTAGTCGTAGATCTAAATAAGAATCGAAGCGTAGAACATAAATTTATACTCTATATCAGAACATACGAGACCCAACAGAGCCTTGATGTGCTTACCAGAGAGAAACTGCACTGGACCTTGCCAGCTTCGTGCTTGTGGTTTCTTTTGATGAAATCCTTCTTCGGTCCGCCATCTGCTGGCGTACCTGGCATCCTTCAGCGGGCTGAACATTTTCAAATCATACAACCCAAATTTCGGCAACAAAAGCTGAGGGAGGAAGGTGGGGCGCGAAATTAAACCGAGAAAGAGGCAGTGTGTGCAGTCTGTGAGGTGGAATTAAAATGAAAAGATTTTCAGCAGAGAATGAGATGGGCCTCCACCTCCGGCGAGATGAGGACGTGGCTAATCTGGATGACAAAGAT